CCCAGCGACTACTGGATGTTCGCAAACCTCAAAAAATGCTCACCGATAAGAAATTTTGCTCGAATGAAGAGGTTATTGCTGAAACTGAGGCCTATTTTGAGGCAGAAGATGAATGATTGTGTGGCTCTAGATGGAGATTTCTTTCATAAATGAAGCCAATTTTGAACAGAAAAACGCCCAGGACTTTCCAGCCCATAAATTCACCATCAACAGCGTTGTACTCTACCAATTCCGTGTTACCGTGTTAGGAATCACACGTTAAAAGGTAAGACCTCGTTAGTCCTTAGCTCGCATAAGTTTCTCAACTTCTGAGAGGTGTCGTTCGTATGGGGGCGACAGCTGATTAACGGAAAAACAGATTTTAAACAGAAACAGAACAGAATTCATTTTGTCCAATTTTTCCACATTATATTCTGAGGAGAGCATAATTGTCTCATCATCCGTATGAATATCTGAACATCAGCTGGTAATACGAGTAAGAGCAAAAACAACGTTTTTATAGATGAAACCATAACCCAGAAATGAAGCTTCCCTGATTTCACACCAGACAGCGCTGTTTCGACCTGCCAAGCCATCATCAGTGGTACTAGGCTGAACCACAACTGCATTGCAGGACTCAGCTGAAGCCAACTTTTGTTCAAATCCCTGTCATTTGATACATCATCGAGTCATTCCAAAATAATGAAATAAGTGGAAAAATGTTAAAAGATTCAATAATCGGGGTTCCCAGTTTTGATATTTGATTCGAAATGTTTCATAGTCAGGTACATTTACTAATATTCGTTGGTTATCGAGCGCACTGTATATTGTATACTTGATTTGAATAATCATAATTCTCGGAAAATAATAAAAATAAGTAGAATGCCCATTCGCTGTTGTTTTTGACTCACATACTGAGGTGAAATTCGAATTGTATGTTTGTTGTTTCTATTAGTAGCATTGCGATTGTTTAAGTGATTCGTCAGACAGTATTGTCATCGGAATGTTTGTTGACAAATTCTGGATACCTTAAACTCTGATGAAAATTTTGATTCGTGGGCTTATTTTGCAAAATGAATGAAGTCTTCAATTTTTGCAGGTGACATATGTTTAAAAAAATGATTGGGATATTTGATGGCTGAAAATTAAATTCGAAAAGAGGGGCGTCGGTTTTTTTGTGTGGAATGGTTGTTTGAATTCACACCCCTCTTTCAGTACCTCATTCGTGAAATCTGTTGATACTTTTTGTTTTTGAAAGCAATGAAGTTTTAGTTTCGATTTTTGACCAGTTCCATTTCGAAATGATAATTATAAATTCCACTAAAATCTGTAAGGAATGTACAAGCTGTGTACACTATTTTTTCCATATTGACGAAAACTAGGATTATAATAATAGCCATATTCAATTACTGGAAGAGTAACTGTCATATTTCAAAGTCATGTTGATAGAGTTCATGCATCTCTTGAAACACTATTAGACGATTAATCTTTCAGAATAGCTGTAGGACTTAGGATGGATTCGTCTATTTGTGTTTCTCATACTTGTGTTTGCGGTAGTATAGTTGATGAGAAAGGTACACATGGTTTGAGTTGCAGGAGAAGTGCAGGGCGTACATCTCTACATCACCAAGTGAACGACATATTGAAACGAGCTATGTTGTCAGCGGATGTTCCTGCAATTCTGAAACCCTTAGGTACCAGTCGAGATGATGGTAAACGACCAGATGGTATGTCTCTCATACCATGGAAATACGNCCCGGAGTGTCAATTAAATTTTATTGTTGTTTTTATATTATTTTTATCGTTGTTTTACTAAAATGTTATTGGTAGAAAACTTATTCATTTTCATATTATATATATACAAGACGAGAGGTGTGGAAAATCAATATGATAGTTCAAAATCGTATGTGAAAATCTAATGTCGGCATAATCTCTACGAGTTCTCCGTTTCACTATTTCTGTTATAGTGCGAACTTATCTCAGTATATTTTCAGTCAAAGGCATCATCAATTCATGAGCTAGATATCTTAGAATTTTGTTCTCAGTGACCACACACATGAGCGATACTCCAATATTGATCTAACCAGAGAATAATAAAGGGTTACAATGGAATTACCTATTGTGAATTCTCTTGTGATCCATCACACGAAGCCCAGCATATTTGTCGCCCTATTGACAACCTGCTCAAAGTGGAGATGGAAATCAACCTTGGTGTCAAAAACCAGGGTCTCGAACAATGTTTGCCATTGTGAGAATTTTGCCATCAATGTTATAACCAAATTCAATATGTTTCAGTTATCGACAAAAATACAAAACATTGTATTTATACAAATTCACCTGCATGTGGTTTTCTGAGCACCATTTGCCAATTGAGTTGAGGTCCTTTGAAAATTCTTAAATTGTTGCTTGTGAATGGCAAGGATGAAGATTTAAAGATCATCTACAAACAGCAGAACTTTTCATTGTTTGATTATTCCTTTGATTCATTGATGAAGATATCGAATAATAAGGGACATAGGTGGCTTTCTTGCGGTACTCCTGACGTGAAGTAAATCTCTCCAGATACGAAACTCTTGACTTTTACATATTGTTTTCTATCTCGGAGATAGCTTGTAAACCAGTTCAATAAATTTCCGTATTGATAATGAAATAAAATCTCATACGATATATGTCTGTTAGGAGTTATTACAGTACCCATTTATATTAAAACAACTCGAACTGTAATAAGTAACCCACAGAATTCATAAAGTATAATTTCTCCTTAGGCTATTCACACACCAGTGATAATGTAACGAATCTGCCAACAATAATCTATCAATTGATCAGCGAATGGAAGAAGTGAATAACCATTTGTTCGAAATGCCTATTATTCAGTATGATACATTTGTTAGTTTTGATCGTGAACTTTCTGGTTCAAAAAGTAGCACTATGAAAGATATAGTTGGGACATCCTGTATTTATGGAAATTACCTAATTTTCAACATATCTTACCACCCATTTTACTAGAATTTTCAGCAGAAATACTCACCCGCCAAGTATTCTTGGAATTATTTGAATTTCCCATACTTTTCATTCATATATGAAACAGCATCTGACTAACAATAAACACGTCAAAAGCTCTCTAATTGAAAAGACAAACACCAGAAAGTAAAGACGTCTTTGTAGGAGTACACAAAGCCCGACACATCAGCGGAGATCCTTTTATTGATTTAAAATTTCTTGAAAAAATGTTTGTATTGAATTTTAATTGTGGTTTCACCACAACAGAATCCGTGTATAAATATTGTAGGTTGGCTTAGACCAGGAACAATTTAGATCTGTGAAGTCAACAGTGCATATCTTTCCAAATTTGAAAAAACATCCGAAATGAAGGGGGTGAGTAAATCGTTATAGGATTTTAGTCTTTACATTTGTTCATATTTCTTGTTGCGAGTTTATCTATTTCGTATAGTTTCATTTCTTTTCAATATTGTACATTGACGTTTTCTTTTTTTGATTTGCTCTGCTCCTGTGGTTATACAAATCAATTTGAGTAAATAAAGAGATTATTATATATTTTTTGTACAGAGTGGATCAAATTGGGCATTTTTAAAGGGAAACTCCTGTTTTTAAACAAGATAGATGGAAGGTGATGCCTGTGTGAGGGTCGAATTTTATGACAAACTCAATGGTAGAAACCGTATATCGATATCTATCATCGTTTCTGAGTTATAGCATGTTTTTCGAAAATGTGCCTTTTAGAAAAGTTGCTGTTACTTTTCGAAAATGTGTATTTTAGGAAAGTTGCTGTAACTTTTTTCCTGTCCAAATTGTTTTGTTTCTATGAAAACATTTCCAAAGTACTTTTGTCTGTGAACAATTCATTTTTTCAAATGAGATCACAATAGTTATTGTGATCTCATTTGTGATCTCACTATTTTTCAAGGAGACACCCTGTATATTCCTGCATATTTCAATAGAGCTTGAAATTACCTTTACAAAAATGTAGCACACTTGATGTTTTGCTAGAGTCATCTTTGAAATACAGAGATTTTAGGTTTTTTCATGTAGACTTTGAGATGCACACTTTGATCAAATTGGCTTTGGACGATTTGGCGATAAAATAGAAAGCAAATTTTCACTGGTACCTATTAAATTTTGATTTGAGCAGTGAAGACGCTCTTAAATTAATGGTTTTTGTTCAATTTTCGAACATATTCGCAATGGAGTATGGGAATTATGAAGAATGGGATATGATAGTTTATTTTATACAATCCAGACGAAATGCAGAAGCAGCATTTCTATCACGAGGGGTATACAGAGAGAAGACAACCTTTCAAAGACATTTTCACAAGATTGCGGGACAACCTAATTGATGGTGGTCAATTTGAAAAGAAAAGGCCAAAATCATATGAATCAAATGAGGAATTGGAAGAAATAGTCGTTTTAGGAGCTGTTTAAAATTATCCCAAAAACGTCACCGCAAAATTTTGAAATATCAACAGGCCTACCAAGAACTTACGTTGAGAGGATTTTGAAAAAACACAAATTCAAGCCATACAGAACCAGAAGGCTTTTGCCAGCGGTTTCTGAAAAGTTGTAACCAAGTGCGTGATTTTTCGATAAATTTTATTTGGACAGATGAAGCTTCTGTGAGCAGTGCCGGCATTTTGAACTACTACAATTCTTATACTTTGGAAAAACGAGATCGATTCTGCCGCCGATCATGATTCCGCCCCATAGCATTACTGTACCACCTCTGTATGTGTGGACTTCCTNTATTCACCATATTGAGCTATGCTTCGCCGCTTCCAGACATTTCCAGAACAGAACTGAGAAGTCACGACAATGTAGATCATTCCAGACTTCATGTGAATCTTCCCAATAGCAATTCCTCAGATGAAGATATGGAAACAGCAGAGATGATCATTTTCAGACCATTATTCACATACAGGAAGACCGTGGCTCAGAAATATCGAACTAACCGTATAGGGGGTAGAAGAAGAGTATATTATTATTAGTTTGGAATCAAGACAATTGTGCCAGCTATTATGTCGATGATCTGTGATATATTTATTAGTGAAATATATGAATTTTGAATTTTTACATGAATTTACCATGCAACTGATCCAAATCAAAATATACTGTATAATTATTTGGAAATAGAAAACAACTTCCTCGTTCAGGAATCTACTTGTACAAACAATACACATGTCATGGTAATTCTCTTCTTCCAAAATCTCAGGAGAAGTGCTTCAATTTCTTCATCAGCTATCCCATATGCCAAATGGACTGAAATTCAGCATTTTCTTCGCATTTTCAGGATGTCATATATTTCCTGTTTGAGTTTGTTCTCCTCTAATCGGTCCATAACCACTTGAAAACATGGTATCAATTTTTTTTGGGCCACGGCGAATTCAAGAAAAGCTGTGAGTGTTCCAGCTTGTTTCTTGGAAACAGAAATATCGCCAGGATTTCCTGCAATGAAGAAAACATTTTATTTTTCCATATTTTTGAAAGAACAGCTCTTCAGTGCGTGTTTCACCGTGCAATGACTTCCTCAGGCATGTTCCTAATAACTGAATTCTACCTAATTGGTGCTTTATATAATATATCAAATTGAACCATGTGACCTTCCATCTTAAACTAAATCATCTAAGGGAATAATCCGCTCTGGCTCATCTCCACCTACCTACACAGTAGATTAATTGACTGACGCCTATCAAAAAACAAATACTTCCTTGACTAATATCAGGAAGGGCGTTGGATTATATCCGAAAGGCGTCAGTGAAGGATTCTATACCAAAGAAATTCCTGCATATGCTTTGGACAATACAACTGACAAAATCGATTTTTAATTATTGGAACTGGAACTGTAACCAGTTTCGAGTGAAGTAGTGTCCATCATCAACACGGAGTCGATGATTTTTTATAATTGAAAATCAAATTCTTTCAGAGTATCATTCCTCGAACAAAGCTGGGGTGAACGATAAGCAACATATCTGTCATCGCCCCTTCTGTCGGTAGAAGAGGTACTAACCGACCGCATATACGAATGGCCCGAATACTCGCATAACGAAACTAATTCCACTTATTCTTTCATTCCCATTCGTGACCAGAATTGATGATAGCATTCATGATCAGTCGTACTCTTTCATAGGACGAGCTTATTAGAAATATGGTCGAAGCAATATAGTAAATGTTTGGCTTCCATTTTTCTCTGCAATGAGCCGTTGAACTGAGAGGTCTTAACTAGTATTTTGGCTTTTATTGAATCAAAATGTAGATGTACTTCATCAGGCAGGTCTAATCAATGGTGTTAGGCTGCACTAGTAAACTATCCTGAATAGGACAAGCCCTACGAAGATACCATCTTTGTAGGGGGATTGAAGAAAAGTATATATCGGAGGAAGCTGATTCGTTTTTAGATGGATCAAAAGGAATAAAACAAAATTTTCATTACCTACTATTCCTATATACAAGATGTTGGCACCATCTGTCCGCGCACCGGACACATATGTCCAACCCTGATCTTCATAAAGTCTGCCATCATTATCCAGTAGGAAATTGGATACAATGTCAGTTTCCTCCGTAGAATTCATATGTTCAGCCTGGATGCTTTTAGGCAGTAAATCGCAATTTGTATCATTGTCGCAACGAATAGTGGATGAAACAATCGTGAAGATTTCAACCTTGTCCACGGGAAACTTCAGTTCTGTGATGTTTTGTTCTGGCGGAAAGATGTCCCATCCTGTTTTTCTGATCAGTATGGTCCCGGTAAATGTTTCTTCTTCTCCTGCAAAATCAGATAAAGTCATGTTATTACTAAAAAATGTACCCTTTCAATTTAAAAACTGAATGTGTTAATGAACGCAGTGTTCGAAGTTNTGGTTTCTCCTCAGCTAGCTCCTCAGCTGGTTTGTTTGGTCTCTAATCCATGGGAGAAACATGTCGTAACGTAATGAGTTTGTTAATCAATTATATTCTGCTGACAGGCTTCTGAACACCAGAAGTAGTTGCTCTACCGGACAAGAAGAGTAGGACGGACATCATTTCCTGCCCTGCTTACTTCCCGAGTGACTTGGATAGGGTACTTCCTCTAGCTGTGCTGCCGACTCATATAATATAGCAAAAAGGAAAATTTCCGATTCGTAATCGGATGTTGCGCAAATTAACACCAGTCATCGTGGAACAGCATGAATATAAACCACAGAGGTGTCGTACTTTCTGATTATACTGCAGCAAAAAGAAATGCTTATGGCATTTTTGTTGCTAATCCAAAAAAAAATCTAATATTTCTCCCAATGACGATACAATAACGGCATATGAGTTTGGAATACTTCTTTATTTTTGCACAAAACATAATTGAGAGTTCACCTGAAAGTCATTATGAATCGACTGACTTTTTAGATCCCAACCCAGAACCTCAACATTAATTTTTTCTTCAACCAGTCCCAACAAACGAAGTGTTGTCCGTAATCAAAAATCTAAAAAAATTCTCTAGCTTTGATATACATTTTTCAAGTAGTAGAATACTGAAGGAATTTATGAAAGTGATCATAAATCTGCTGACGGATCTGATTACCATTCGTTTTACTGGTGGTGTATTTCCCGATGCCTTTGAAATTTTCAAAGTAGTTTCTATTAAAAAAAAAGTGACAGATATCTTCCTGACAACTACAGACCCATCTCCTTGATACCAATTCTAGGAAAAATTATTGAGATTATTCTAAAAATCGGTTATACTCTTTCTTTGGAAAATACAACACAACACACTGTTATCAATATGGATTCCGAACAAACTTCCTCGCAGTCCAGGCAGTTAGCATAGTCGTGGGAAGGATAGTTGAAGCCCTTGAGCCTGGGCAGTTGACAGGTCATACACTCTGTGACTCATCTAAGGCATTTGATAGTGTCTTCCACGAGCTGCTGCTGAAAAAGCTCGAGCACTATAGGGTTAGGGGAACCCCACTGAACCTCGTAAAGTTCTATTTGAACGACCATTAACAAGTGGTACCGGTCAACGGAACCACTTATTATGGAGTGCCATAGGGATCAGTCCTTGGGCCACTGTTTATCACCATTTATATCAATGATATATTTTATTACTCGCTTTCCGGCATGTGTATTGTATTTGCACTTCGTTAATAAGTTCGCACCATAGTCGATTTGTAGTGAATGAACTAATGGCAACTACTGAGTCTAGAGCTGAACTGGTTTACGACAAAATGAACAATGATAAGACCCAGCACATCGGATTTGCCTCTAATAAAAATATTTCGAATGGATTCACTGTTGAACTTCTGGGGATAACCCCCGATGATGAATTAAAGTGGAAGAGCCACATAATTCCTCTATGTGATGAATTGTCTAGTCAGGTATGAAGATTATTCAAGTTACAGAAGAGGGCATTGAGAATAATCGAAGATACACCTACCTTGTAGGCCACTTTTCATCAGAAACCAAATAATGCCACTTCCTTGCATCTATATACATCAAACCCTTATTGAATTAAACAGAAATAGAAGAAATCTAAAGTTCAACTCAGATTTCCACAACTATCCTATCCGACATTTGGTGAGGCCAAATAGGTTAAGAGTGAAAATATCTTCTTTCAACTCTCCCAACTTGAATTCGTACAATAAATTAAATAAAGGCCTGACAAAGCTCAGCATGTATTTTTTTGAGGAAATAATAAAAAAAACATTGCTGAACATTGCTTCTATTCAATAGAAGAATATATGAACTTTACAATTAATTAGTCCATTGCTTTTAATAATATAAAACTGAAATGCCTATAATCTGATATACATTCAATGTACCACATTCTTGTATAAATCAACGAGGGCTCCGCAAAAAATAGGTAAGGGGTATTGGGTGGGAACATTATGGCTTTCTAGTTCTCTATCATTGAAGAAAATATGTGGGAAACTTCCAGAGAAAAAACAAAGAAAAAATAATTCACACTAAAAAATGCTGCCGAAAATATTCCTTTTTCGCAAGGACGTATTAGGTTCAACTTCTATCTTTTTGAGCAATGAAATACTTATATCCTTCTGCTAAAAGGTGGTTTGCAAATGTGGAACTGGTTTTTGTCTATGCTCCATAATTCTTTGGGAAAATGTGATCCCTGTTTGGCCAATATAAAGTTTTGGGCAAGAGCCACAAGTCAGCTTATATGCTTCACATATGGTTGAATATTTCACAGTCTGAGATTACTTTCTTATTTGCACTTCGTTAATAAGTTCGCACCATAGTCGATTTGTAGTGAATGAACTAATGGCAACTACTGAGTCTAGAGCTGAACTGGTTTACGACAGAATGAACAATGATAAGACCCAGCACATCGGATTTTCCTCTAATAAAAATATTTCGAATGGATTCATTGGTAAACTTCTGGGGATAACCCCCGATGATGAATTGAAGTGGAATAGCCACATAATGCCTCTATTTGATGAACTGTCTAGTCAACTATTTTTGCTGCATGAACTGACAAATATTGTGGATAAAGATGTGCCTTTGACTACATACCATTCTCTCTTATATTCGCATTCCGTGTTAGGAATCACACGTTGAAGGTGAAACCTCGTTAGTCCAGGAAACAACACATATGCACTTGTTTCCTGCTTTCGGCAAACAAGTGTTGCCCATCTTTACACTTGGCTGCACCGCGCTGATGAGGCCAATAGTCAGAAACACGTGTCCGCGGTTTGCCCCCCTTTTTTGAGTGTTGTGTCCACAAATTGTTTAATTTTTGATTTATATCATGCACACTCGATAAAATCTCTATTTGTATTTATCCTGGACCCGGATGTCACGCAGGTAGCTATAGCTGCCTCCGTGGTCATGTTAG